GGCCAAATTTAATTATTTTAAATCTATTTTTAATCGTACTTATGTATAAATGTTTTTTTTATTTTGGCTGTTCACCGCCCTGAGTCCGAAAGGAGAAGGGCGGTATAGAAATTCGAATAATAAATAAATAAATAAATAAATGACTTAGATGAGAGAATAGAAGGGGAACTCATCAATTTTGGAGATGAACTAAACTAGCAGGAATAGCCAACACCCCTGATGACAAGGTCAGGATCCATAAGATCTTGACAGACTTGAATAATGGTCCCTACCAAACAAAATGAAAGTTAATGTGGAGAAAAGCAAGATTTTACACCTAGGCAGGAAAAACCAAAGGTACAAGTACAGATTAAGCAAAACCTAGCTGGAAAAACAATAAGAGGCACCTTGGAGTCCTAGTGGATTATCACTTAAATATGAGCCACCAGTGTGCGGCAGCAGCCAAAAGAGCTAACACAATCCTGGGTTGTATAAATAGAGGCATAGAATCAAAATCACATGAAATATTAGTACCGCTTTATAAATCCTTATTAAGACCACATCTGGAATACTGCATTTAATTTTGGTCCCCACATTACAAAAAAGATTTGAGACTTTGGAAGAAGTGCAAAGAAGAGCAACTAAGATGATTAAAGGCCAGGAGACAAAAACATATGAAGAACGGTTGCAGTAATTGGATATGGCTGGTTAGAGAAAAGAAGGACTTGTGGGGACATGATGACAGTTTTCCAGTATTTGAGGGGCTGCCACAAAGAAGAGGGGGTCATCTTATTTTCCAAAGCATCAGAAGGCCAGACAAGAAACAATGGATGAAAACTAATCAAGGAAAGAAGCAACCTGGAATTAAGGAGAAACTTCCTATCAGTGAGAATAATTAACCAGTGGAACAGCTTGCCTTCAGAGGTTGTGGGTACTTCTGTAGGTGGGTAAATCACTGGAGGTTTTTAAGAAGAGGCTGGACAGACATTTGTTTGAAATGGTATAAGATCACCTGCTTGAGCAGCGGGTTGGACTAGAAGACCTCTAAGATCCCTTCCAGCTCTATTCTGATTATTATTATAAAGTAGATGACAAAGAAGTCAAAATAATGTTTCTTTGAGTCTGGAAAAGGACCATTCTCATTATCTTATATGCTTTTAAATCTACTACAGACTTCCTTCTTTTAAATATCTTATGAATAAGGGAGAAGTACCTGTTCTAACCTTCTAACTTTAATTTAATTTAATTTTATTTTAATTTCCAATTTATATACCGCCCTTCTCCCTGAGGACTCAGGGCGGTGTACAGCCAAGATAAAAAACATAGAATACAAATATTAAAACATTTAAAAATATATATAAATTTTGGCCCGAAAGTTAAAAAATCACAGACTAATTAAAAGAATTTAAAAAGAATTTAAAAATTATTACATTATTATAACATTATTGGATACACTATCAGGGGGGAAAAAAGAAAATAGTGTCCTTCCCAAAATGAGTTTAATTTGACTAATCTGATTCTGCCTTCAGTTTAGAAAATTCAAGTGCCCAAGATTCTACTGCATGACTACTGCTGCAGTGCCAGTCACAGTTCCTGCTAATTTGCACTGGGAGAAAAGGTGTTATTGCCACCTGAGAGAATTCTATCCACTGGGAATAGTTGGAAAAATATGGGAGAAACTTAAGCTTTGAAACATTTATTTATTTTATTTTATTTTTCAATTTATATACCGCCCTTCTCCCTGAGGACTCAGGGCGGTGCACAGCCAGAATTAAAAACATGAAATACAAATATTGAAAACAATTAAAATCTATATAAATTTGGCCCAAAATTTAAAAAACCACAAACCAATTAAACATTTAAAAATTAAAAAAAAAATTCTTCTTAAGCCAGCCCGGCTTGCTGGAAAAAGTGGGTTTTAAGGGCACGGCGGAAGGCACTGAGGTCTTGGATTCTCCTTATCTCTGGGGGCAGCTGATTCCAGAGGGTAGGTGCCCCCATAGAGAAGGCTCTCCCCCTGGGGGTCACCAGCCTACATTGTTTGGCTGATGGCACCCTGAGGAGGCCCTCTCTGTGGGAGCGCACGGGTCACTGGGAGGTCGTCGGTAGCAGCAGGCGGTCTCGAAGATAGCTAGGCCCTATGCCATGGAGCGCTTTAAAGGTGATAACCAACACCTTGAAGCGCACCCGGAAGACCACCGGGAGCCAGTGCAGCTCGCGCAGGAGCGGTGTTACATGGGAGCGCCATGCTGCTCCCATCACTACCCGCGCTGCTGCGTTCTGGACCAGCTGGAGCCTCTGGGTGCCCCTCAAGGGGAGCCCCATGTAGAGAGCATTGCAGTAGTCAAGGCGAGAGGTGACGAGGGCGTTAGTGACTGTGCACAGGGAATCCCGATCAAGAAAGGGCCGCAACTGGCGACTCAGGCGAACCTGATAAAAGGTCCCCCTGGTTACAGCCGTCAGATGTTCCTCCAAGGACAGCTGCATATCCAGGAGGACTCCCAGATTGCGAGCCCCTTCTGTGGGGGCCAAGGACTTGCCCCCAATAGTCAGTGATGGAGTCAACTGACTATATCGGGATGCCGGGAGCCACAGCCACTCAGTCTTGGAAGGGTTGAGCTTGAGCCTGTTCCTCCCCATCCAGATCCGCACAGCCTCCAGGCACTGAGACATCACTTCAAGGGCATCGTTGGGGTGGCCTGGGGTGGAGATGTACAGCTGGGTGTCATCAGCGTACTGATGGTATCTCACCCCGAAGCCACGGATGATCTCGCCCAGCGGCTTCACATAAATGTTGAACAGAAGGGGCGAGAGGACCGATCCCTGCGGCACTCCACAGACGAGAGGCCTCGAGGTCGACCTCTGCCCCCCTGCCAACACAAACTGCGACCGGTCGGAGAGAAAGGAGGAGAACCACCGCAATACGGTGCCTCCCACCCCCAACTCTTCCAGCCGATGCAGCATGATACCATGGTCGATGGTATCAAAAGCCGCTGAGAGGTCTAACAGGACCAGAACAGAGGAGCAACCCCTGTCCCTGTCAAATCTTCCCCATCCCTATCTTGCTATTTCTCCTGGCCTGATTTGTAAATTATGCAACCTCTGAGATAGCAGAAGGATTTTCCTAGAGGCCAAGTGAATATTTCAGAGATATGCAAACTTGGGAGCTGCCCTTCAATATTTTTAACCACTAGGGTATTTAAAAATGCAATTTGAGAGTTCAGATAAACTGTCTCTCAACAGCAATATTATTTACAGATTATTTATTTATTGAAAAAATGTATATTTTGCCCCATCCATTTTTTTCTGGGTGGTTATTTGTGCTCAGTGAGGTTTTATTTCTTAGTTTAAACCACCTATATACCTTCTGTTTCTATAGATCAACTTTCCTCAATCTGGTGTCCTACAGATGTTGAGAAAACAATTCCTTTGACAAGATTAGAATTTTAGGAATGGCCTCCAATCCCCATGGGACTCTATCCACCAGACACCTTGTATTGCTGCAATATCACCAGCAGGTTGAGGCACAGGTGATCAATTTGCAGAATGTCACCCCCCCCCCAAAAAAAACCAAGCAAGGGTCCTACTACTGTAGTAAGTGAGCTTCTAAGAATCGCATAGTGCTGCATCTAGAATATTTCATATTTCTTAATGATAAATAAATGAAATCACTCAGAACTTTTGTCTGCAGCTTCAATTATCAAAATAGGTGGATTATAGTTTTCCGAATAAGACATCACGTTTTGTTTAAAAAGATTCAGGATAATTACAGATGTGCACGAAATGGGGAAAAACTGCTTTGAACTTGAAAGAGGTTACTCCATTCTGGAAGTTCTGCCAGATTGGGTCAGCCACAGGTAAGCAGAAACAAGGACCAGATTGTTTTGGTTGTCCTGAGTTTTGGGTGAAAGAAAATCTGGATAGTGTGAGTAAAGAGGGTTTTTTGTATCTTCTCTCTACCCTCTCCTCTTCTTCCTATAGCCAATGTGCAACCCACATTTAATCTTCCCAGCATCTGAATTTCATCCTTACCTTAACCCTAAAACTGACTTTACTGCTGTCACTCGCTTGCCCACATGTGTTTGAGTTACCCAATATCCCACCCCTGTGTTCTCTTCATTTCCTCTTCCAAATGTCCTTGGCTTTTTTTTCCTGATCATTCCCCAAATTATTCTGCCAGGAATAACTGTTTCAGTGAGTGCTCAAAGCAAAATAGCCCAATTTAAAGATTAAAAAAAGAGAGAAATGCATATTTCTCTTTGGACATGGACTATCCAAAATAATTATTCCATACTGTTATGTCCTTATAAGGACATCCGCCCGGATTGGCTGCGAGCCATCGGGCAGGAGATTTGAATCCCTGTCAAGGGGCGGTGCGTCTGCCGGGAGCGAATATAAGGAGAGCCCCGGCAGCGCGCCTGCAGTCTTGCCTTGTTACTTTTGAAGCTAATAAAGTTACTTAATGTATCGAGCTGGTCACGTCTTCATTTCCTGCGCCTGATCTAACACTGGCGACGAAGGACTAGAGAAGAGAACCTGAACAAGACTTGTGGCACGATCGCCCACCCAGCTGAAGGCCCGAAACCACAGCGACCCTCAGAATGGCAACTCCGCAAGCTCCGATTGCCACACTGAACCCATTCGACCCATCCCGAGAGAAGTGGAGGTCGTACATGGTCCGATTTCGGCAGTTCCTGCGAGGCAATGGCTACCAGAACCTCGACGATGAGCGGAAAAGAGCCCTCTTCCTGGCTCACTGCGGATCGGACGTCTTGGAGATGGCGATTGACCTCGTGGCACCCAGGGACATTGAGGAGATGTCCTGGAACGACCTGCAAGAAGCCCTGCAGGAGCATTACGCACCCACAGGCACCCCGATCGCAAACAGGTTCACCTTCCAGCAGAGAAACCAGCGGGAAGGTGAATCCATCAAAGAATTCGTGGCAGCGCTTCGCCAGATCGCTGCCAACTGCGAGTTCGATAATGTGGACAACGCCATCCGAGACCGTGTTGTATTTGGAATGCGAGATGTGGGTCTGCAAAAGAAGTTCCTCAGCCGAAAGAGGATACCACTCAAAGACGTCCTCGACGAAGCAACAGCGGCTGAAACATCCGAGAAGGCAGCCGCCGCGATGGTAAAAGCTAGAGGGATCCATAAGATCCACAAGTCGGCTCTGACCTCATCAGACGACTCAACAACGCAATCTGAGTCTGATGAGGAAAGGGCCGTCCACAAGGTTTCCCGTCCCCCCAGGCAGGAAAACCCTCAGCAGGGCGACTGGGGAGAACGATGCGGCAGCTGCAAAGGCGACCACCCCAGGGCAACCTGCAGATGGAGGGACGCGACCTGCCGCCGATGCCTGAAGAGGGGGCACATCGCCGAGGCCTGCAGAGCAGCAGATCCAGCCCCGGAACCGCCCAGACCACGATTCCACGAGAATCGCAAAGATAACCAGAGGACATCCAAATGGTCTTCGAACCAGTCCCGGCGCGGGGAGGATGACTATCCCCGCAGCAGAACGGTGCACCAGACAACCATCGCTCACACAAGTGACGAGGGGACCACCAAGTTCCACGTGACGCTGATGGCAGAAGGGTCACCGTGCAAGATGGAGGTAGACTCCAGATCCGCCTACTCCATCATGGACTGGCAGCACCTACAGCAGCTGAAGCCATCCTGCAAGAAGACCCAGCTGAAAACCCCGAAGTCGAGGCTTGTGGACTTCAACGGAAATCCCATCGGAATCCTGGGCAGAACCACCATCCACATCAGGTATAAGGACTTTAACGGAGAGCTGCCCATCACCATCGTGGAGAACAGCCGACCGAACCTGTTAGGAGTGGAGTGGTTTAAGCCGCTGGGGCTTTCCATTGAGAGCATCCACGAAATCCATAGGGACGAACTCGACACCATCCTCGAAGAGTTCAAAGAAGTCTTCGATGGTAAACTGGGGAAATTTGTGGGGAGGCCAATTTCCTTCAATCTGGACAAGGGAATCACCCCAATTAGGCTCAAGCCCCGCCGAGTTCCGTTTGCCCTGCGGCCTAAAGTAGACGAGCAGCTGGATAAGCTGATCGCCCAGGGCGTCCTGGAACCGATCGATCATGCCTCATGGGAGACCCCCATTGTGACCCCACTGAAGCATGATGGGTCTGTGCGCATCTGCACCGACTACCGTTGTACCATCAACAAGGCGTTGGCACAGAGCGCATACCCAGTCCCAGTAGTGCAACACCTGCTGCATTCCCTGGGATCTGGCTCAATTTTCGCGAAACTGGACCTGGCCCAGGCTTACCAGCAACTGCCAGTAGATGAAAAAACGGCGGAGGCACAAACAATTGTCACGCACAGGGGGGCATTCAAATGTAACCGCCTCCAATTTGGAGTCAGCGCTGCCCCAGGCATTTTCCAATCTATGATGGAACGCCTTCTCCAAGGCGTTCCAGGGGTGGTGCCTTACTTCGACGATGTGCTCGTCTCAGGTGACTCAAGAGCTCAACTCCTTGAACGGCTCAGGCTTGTCCTGCAGCGGTTCAAGGCCAAGGGCTTGAGAGTCAGGCGGGACAAGTGCACCATAGGAGTACAGGAAGTCGAGTTCCTGGGCTATCTCATCGATAGCACTGGCATCCACCCCACCAAATCAAAAGTGGAAGCAATCCATGAAGCTCCAAGCCCAAAAAACAAAACGGAGCTTCAGGCTTTCCTTGGGTTGCTCAACTTCTACGCCATCTTCTTAAAACAGAAAGCCACAGTTGCTGAGCCACTCCACCGCCTGCTGGGGAAAGCGGCTTCCTGGAAGTGGGGCCAGGAAGAGGAAGCAGCATTCCGGGCCATCAAAGGACTATTGACGTCCAAGAGCGTTCTCATCCAATACAGCGAGACGCTCCCCATCAAGCTGACCTGTGATGCGTCGCCTTACGGGGTGGGGGCAGTCCTCAGCCACGAACTGCCCAATGGCTCGGAAGCCCCGATCGCTTACTTCTCGAAGACCATGTCCGGCGCAGAACGGAACTACAGCCAGCTGGACAAAGAAGCCCTGGCCATCGTGGCAGGAGTGAAGCGCTTCCACGAATACCTCTACGGAAGACGCTTCACCGTAGTCACCGACCACAAGCCACTCCTGGGACTCCTCGCAGGCGACCAACCCACCCCGACCTTCATGTCCCCGCGGATGACGAGATGGGCCATCTTCCTAGCTGGCTACTCCTATAGGCTCGTGCACCAGCCAGGCACAGCCATAGGAAATGCCGACGCACTCAGCAGATGCCCATCAAAGAATCCAGTCGAAGACCCAGCCCCCACGCTCCACCTATTCCATATAGATGACGACGCCAGCTGTCTGGTGTCGTCCGCAGATGTGGCCGTCCACACCCAAAAGGACCCCACACTCCGCCAAGTGAAGTCCTGGATCCTCAGAGGGTGGCCATCGGAAAAGACAGAGGAAAGGTTCAGCCCGTTCGCCAGGAAACAGAAGGAGCTGTCCACCATAAAGGGCTGCCTACTATGGGGAGACAGGGTGCTGATTCCAAGCACTCTGCAACGGCGGACGTTAGAGACTCTGCACAAAGGGCATCCGGGCATCGTCCGCATGAAGGCTCTGGCACGGAGTTACGTCTGGTGGCACTCCATGGACAGAGACATTGAGCAATGGGTCTCCAGATGTGACCCATGCCAAGAAATTCGCCCAGCGCCGCCACAATCCGAAGTTGCGAAGAGGGAGACCCCCAGCAACCCCTGGTCGAGGATCCACATCGACTTCGCGGGTCCGATGCAGGGGCGACACCTCCTCATCGTGGTAGATGCCTTCTCCAAATGGCTCGAGGTGGTGCCCATGGCATCTACCACAACAGAAGCGACGATCCGAGCCCTGCACCGTCTGTTCGCCACACATGGACTACCAGACATGCTGGTCTCGGACAACGGCCCCCAGCTCACATCCCTGGCCATGGAGTCCTTCCTGGCAGGACTGGGCATCCGCCACGCCCTGTCCGCCCCGTACAGGCCGGCCGGAAACGGACAAGCTGAACGCATGGTCAGACTCACCAAAGAAGCCCTCACCAAGATGGGCCAGGGAGACTGGCAAGAACGCATAGACAACTTCCTCCTCACCCAGCACATCACGCCACATGCCACCACCCACAAGAGCCCGGCCGAACTACTAATGGGCAGAAGGTTGAGGTCACCCCTGGACCGGCTGCACCCCCAATACAGCCCGGAAGTGACCGCAACCGCCAGCCGCCCGCTTCGCGCCTTCAGCAAGGGAGATTCAGTTTTCGCGCTGAATTTCAACGGCTCTCCTAAGTGGCTGAAGGAGAAGATTGCCAGCACAACCGGCCCCAAATCCTACACCGTCGAATTGGAAGATGGACAGGTCTGTAGACGTCACATCGACCAACTCCGGAAAAGGTGGGGGGGAGCACACGAAAACCAGCCTGACGAGGGAGGCCTACAACACCCAGACGAGGTAGGCCTCCAACACCCCGGCGAGGTAGACCTACCACACCCAGACGAGGTAGGCCTACGACACCCCGGCGAGGTAGGCCTACGACACCCCGGCGAGGTAGGCCTACCACACCCCTGCGAGGCAGAGCAACGCCATCCCGACGAGGTCGGCCGGGCTCACTACCAGGTACTGTCACGTCGGCAGTCCAGCGAGGTAGACCGGGGCCGACCGCACGGGAGATGGCAACACCAACCCAGACAGGTGGGCACCCGGCACAGCAGGGCCAGGGACCACCAACCCAGCCCGCAAGTAGACCGGGACCTGCCCAGAGGAGGAGCAGCGCACCCCACCAGTGATGGCAGCCTACACCAGCCCAGCCAGGGAGACCGCAGTTCCAGGCGAGTAGACCGGGACCCAGCCAAGACGGGCACCCCACTACCCATGGGCGAGGGTGGCACACGACTCCCCGGCGAGAGGGACCCCCGTCCATCTCAGAGGACAGCCAGCGAACAACAACCCGACCCGGATGACCCCAGGCACCACCCGACGGTAGACCAGGGACTAGGGGAGAGGGAAAGCCGACAACAACCCGGCCAGGGAGACCTACACCACCCCGGCAGGGGAGACCTCCGCCGCCCCGCAGAGGTAGTCCCGCAACAACATCCCGACCTGGTCGACCACCACCAACCAGACGGGATAGACCAACGCCAGCCCAACCGAGGGGACCAACGCCACCCCTGCGAGGTCGGACAGCACAACGCAAGCCAGCACCACCCGCGACCGGTGGACCGGGCCCGAGGGCACCGAGCAGAACCACCACCCAACCGGCAGCAGGCCGGACCGCGACCGAACCGCAGCGCCCGGGAGACCAGGGAAGAGCAAGCGACAGACTTACCGAGACTCAGACGCTCTTCCCGGGTCGGAACCAAGCAATCGAGATGAGGCGATAGATCCACAGGCCAGGAGGAAGACCAACAGAACCAGCCATTCAAGGTCTGCGGTCCGGCCGGAGGCGCTGGGGGTGACCCCGCTCACTCGACAGCCGAACCGAACCCGGTTCCGGAGAGGGAACCAGGAGACGAAGGAGCCCCGTCCATCCAGGCCGGAGACGGAGAAGAAGTGAGACTGCGCAGGTCAGCTAGGGTGCCGAGGCGTCCTACGTACCTGCACGATTACGTGACTTTTGTGGACGAGATTTGACAGTTCGGACTAAGGGGGGGAGGAGTGTTATGTCCTTATAAGGACATCCGCCCGGATTGGCTGCGAGCCATCGGGCGGGAGATTTGAATCCCTGTCAAGGGGCGGTGCGTCTGCCGGGAGCGAATATAAGGAGAGCCCCGGCAGCGCGCCTGCAGTCTTGCCTTGTTACTTTTGTAGCTAATAAAGTTACTTAATGTATCGAGCTGGTCACGTCTTCATTTCCTGCGCCTGATCTAACACATACACAGTTGGTTTATACATGAAATATTTTTACTTTTCTAGGGGGAATCTTTTTAGAACTTCTGGCAATAAAATGCGGCAAATAAGGGGAAACTCACAGATCGCTTTAACTCTGAAACCTCTAAGACAAAATAGCACCTAAAACAGACCTATTGATTACATGTGTGTGTGTGTGCATAAAAAACACCAATAACCAATGACGAATACAAATGTCTATTCGAAAAATGTAGTTGGCAACTTCTCAACCTCATCACAAAAGTCATCATGAAAGTATGGAAGGTAAAACCATGATAAACCTGAAATGTTTTGGAAAAAGTGTTTTAGACGATGAAATAATCTAATAACAATATACAGTACATCTGGAAAAGGAGTCTGAAAAAAAAGAAAATACTGCTAATAATAAAAAATGGGAGAGGTGAGGTCTATTATGTTTTGCAGTTGTATGTACTAATGACAAGGAAACCTTGTGTGGACAAAAGGAGAGTGGACAAATATCAACATAATCTAGAAACTGATGTTTTACAGACAGTGAGGAAATTGAAAGTGAAAAGATTGGATATATCAGCAATTATGAAGTATGAGGATATTTCATTTGATTATGAAATACTTACAAGAAGAAATATAAAAGTTTTAGAATAACTAGCACATCCAAGCATTATTGAATATTATTGAAAAATCTGTAGAGAAATCTGAAACATGCAATGCATGCAAAGAAACTTAAGAATTATTGTGAGCTAGAAAAATTCTGAGGAAAGAGAAAAAGATGGCCAGCAACAAGGTGGATGGACTCAGTTATACTGGTGGTAGGTAGATCACTGGAAGACTTTCAAGACCTGACTAGGGACAGATTATCATGAAGAAAATCTACCTATGCAGTTGCTAGAAGGTGACATTAATGGATATAATCAATCAGATGAATTCTGCAAAGAAAAGTAGGAGTAAATGCAAAAGCAAGAACAGGAAACCTTTTTGACACCTACCAGAAACATACTTCTGACAAAGGAGGCATTAAAAAATACTGATTCGAAGGGTGTCCATATTTCTACTTCTGCCATATTCACAATTTGTCTTATTTCCAGTGTATTTCCACTACACGAAAATACACTGTGCACACAATTATTAGGCAAGTGAGTATTTTGACCATATCATTTTATTGCATATTTTCCACTTCCAAACTTGAATGCTTAGTGGATATCAGGTGAACATTTCTGCAATGTTGCAGGATGTGGCCTAAGGAGATCAACACCCTATATCAAGGTGTGCAAAATTATTAGGTAGTTTCTTTTCCTCAGGCAAAATGGGCCAAAAAAAGAGATGTAACTGACTCTGAAAAGTCAAAAATTGAAAAAAGACTTTCAGAGGGATGCAGCACTCTTGAAATTGCTAAGATATTGGGGTGTAATCACAAAACCATCAAACATTTTGTTGCAAATAGTCAACAGGTTCGCAAGAAATGTGTTGAGAAAAAAAGATGCACATTAAGATTTGAGTAGAATCAAATGTGAAGCTACCAGGAACCCATTATCCTCCATATTCCAGAACTGCAACCTACCTGGAGTGCCCAGAAGTACAAGGCGTTCAGTACTCAGAGACATGACCAAGGTAAGGAAGGCTGAAACCCGACCCCTACTGAACAAGACACATAAGTTGAAATGGCAAGACTGGGCCAAGAAATATCTGAAGACAGATTTTCAAAGGTTTTATGGACTGATGAGATGAGAGTGACTCTTGATGGACCAGATAGATGGGCCCATGGCTGGATTAGTAACAGGCACAGAGCTCTATTTCAACTCAGATGCCACCAAGATGGAGGTGGGGTACTTGTATGGGCTGGTATTATTAAAGATGAGCTAGTTGGACTTTTTCAGGTTGAAGATGGACTCAGAATCAACTCCCAAAACCTACTGCCAGTTTTTAGAAGACACTTTCTTCAAGCAGTGGTACAGGAAAAAGTCTGCATCTTTCAAGAAGACCATGATTTTTATGCAGGACAATGCTCCATCGCATGCATCGAAGTACTCCACTGCATGGCTAGCCAGCAAAGGCCTTAAAGGTGAAAGAATAATGACATGCCCCCCTTCCTCACCTGACCTAAACTGTATTGAGAACTTGTGGGCCCTTCTTAAACGGGAAATTTACAGTGAAGGAAAACACTATACCTCTCTGAACAGTGTCTGGGAGGCTGTGGTTGCTACTGCACAAAAAGTTGATCGTCAACCAATCAAGAAACTGACACTCCATGAATGGAAGGCTTATGACTGTTATTGAAAAGAAGGGTGGCTATATTGGTCACTGATTTGTTTTGAACTGTCAGAAATTTTTACTTGTAAATATTGAGTTGTTTGTTTATTATTCTCACTTTAACAGATGTAAATAAACAAGTGAGATGGGCAAATTTTCATTTTTCATTTAGTTGCATAATAATTCTGCACACTAATAGTTGCCCAATAATTGTGCACACATAGATATTCTCCTAAGAAAACCAAAGACTCACTTTTACTTTCTTAAATATTCAGGTTTGAGGTTTATTAACATTTTGGATTGACCAAAATGTAGTTGTTCAATAATAAAATTAATCTTCCAAAATACAACTTGCCTAATAATTGTGCACATAGTGTAGTAAATATGCATTCAAATTTGAGGAAAAGTATTGACTTTAATTTTCTACATGTAGATGTCAGCTTCTGTTCCATTAGGGAATTAAGTGAAGCACATAATATCACTAGAGGTGCCTCAACTTTTGCATATACTGTAACTGTCTCTGAACAAAGTTTATTTTTCTGCATAATCATAAAGTATACTAATTTTGAAAGATACTTGATTCCAGTTTTGATGCAAATACGTTTATTTTCTGCAAATGTTTTGCTCTATACAATATAAATTCTAACATTTTAGTTCAGCTAGAAACAGATTCAACGTTCTATTTTATTTTACTAGGACTTCTGTGCTGCTCCAATCCAATAGGACTCTGAGTGGCTTACTTTCTCTTCTAATTAAAATACCACGGCATAATAAAATTAAGGAATTAAGCAAAATAATAACAGAGAAAACTAAAGATCACTGAGAACAGAATATTCAAACATGGGCCAAGGAAGGGGTTCTAACTTATTCCAGATCCCCTCTTAGGGCTTTCTTTAAAAGCTGAAACATAAATGGATGGGAGATAGACTTGATTTTTTAAAAAAATAATTTTAGTTATAGTTTTTTCTTTAACATCCATAAGTTCTTAGTGAACATTGTATTGTCTGGGTCGATGTACTTTATACACAATACTAGTAACAATAATAATAATACTGTTTAGATATACACAATAATAATCTTTCAACTTCTAACATTTACGTATACATAATAATTATAATATATTCTATTATGTATCAGTATACTTAATTCTATTTACCCAATTTCTACATTGTACCTCTATTTTCTAACCCTTAATAAAGCAATTACCATATTAAGAAGTATTCTATATCTATCCATCATCTCTTGCCCTTTTTAGTATTTCAACTTTTATTGACTTTTCGACAAATCTCAAAGACTTGATTTTTATGGAAGATAATTTATGAATGATATATCCACACAACTTGGTTACAATACAGCTGAAACCTTGAAAGGCAATCAAGTGCATCTCCATTTAAAAGAAACTTCCAATATGTTATTTAAGGAGCAAATTAGATCCACTGCCCACTAGAACGCATTGTAAGCTGCCCTGAGCAGGGGTGGGTTCCAAAATTTTTTACTACCGGTTCTGTGGGCGTGGCTTATTTGGTGGGCATGGCTTGGTGGTCGTGTGACTGAGTGGGCATGGCCAACTCGGAGTCACTCACGGCAAGGTAGGGCGGCACCTTGCTGTGAGTGACATCAAGTTGGCCACACCCACCCAGTCACATGAATGATGCTGCAGAGACAGAGCGATTTCCTATGTACCTTCCCCTGACTCTTGGGCTGACAAAATAAAAGTCTGCCTGCCTAGCCGCCCAAACTGGAAAACGAGGGGGGGGGGAGATGCTTCATGTCTAGAAAAACAGCCTTTCTTTTAATCGCCTCATCAAACCACAAACTCCTCCAATCAGGGCTTCAGTCTCTGAGTAACGGGTCGGATGAAGAGTGGGGAAGCGACTAAAGGGGGAGAGAGGGACAAAGCCCCCTTAATATGGATGCACGTAAAAAAGGGGTGGAATTTTGACAAACTTCTCCCCCAAGACCAACAAGAGATTCATTTCCCTCTTGCCCTACCCCCCAACATTTCCAAGAGCCTCCAACTTTGCAGCAACTGCTGCTCCTCGCCTCTCCTGTCCCAGAAGTGGAACCAGGCGCTGTTTCCTCCCCCAAGTCATTGCTGGAGCATCAGCGATCTAAGGAAAAGTCTTCCAGCTCTTCACAATCAACTTTAAGAAAGGTGAGAAGCCAATGAAAAAGAAGCGGCAGCGGAGCCGACAGGGGTTTGTGAGTGTGTGTGTGTGTTTGTCCTTCTGCAGTCCTTTCCCGGGGGACAGTCAGGGCTTCGCCGCCTCCTCTTTCCTTCAGAGGGGCTGCCTCCAAGTCCTTGCGAAGGGATAAACACACACACACACACACACACACACCCTGCCCTGTCACCTCCACTGCTGCTCCTTTTGCATTGGCTTCTCACCTTTCTTAAAGTTGATCGTGAAGAGCTGGAAGACGTTTCCTTAGATCTCTGACATTGCACAATGACTTGGGGGAGATCTAAGGAAAGGTCTTCCAGCTCTTCACAATCAACTTTAAGATAGGCGAGAAGCCAATGCAAAAGTGGAGGCAATAGGGCAGGGCGTGTGTGTGTGTGACAGAGAGAGAGAGAGAGAGAGAGAGACATCCAGCCACCCTCCCCAGCACGCCGCTGCTCCTGCCCCTCTCACCTCCAGCACAGCGGCTCCGTCTCCCTGAAGGGCCGCCCGCCCACCCACTGGCTGGGCTGGAAGGCAGGCAAGCATGGTAGGGCCATGGTAGAGCTAGCTAGCTGAGTGGCCCCAACATGCTTGTCTGCCTTCCCAGTGGTCCCCGTGGCCAGGCCCGCTTGCTTACCTTCCTCCCCCACC